ACTGAGCCATCTCCCTGGCCCCTGTAATACCTTTTCAATGAAAAAGTCTTTTAATGTACATTACAGCCATTTAAGAAAGACAAAAACACACCTCATTTAATAGATAAAAAAGGTAATAAAGAGTAGCATTCGGTATAAAAATTAAATGAAGAGTTGAAGCTAGAAATAAGTTTTCCTAACTATTAATTCTAACGCTTACACTTCAATTCCAAGAAGGAAACTAAACATCTTATTTCAAATGTTTTTAATGTACTACCAATGGCACTGAATATACTTGTAAGGTAAGAAATTGTCATGCTGTGGGTCCCAAAATGCTGTGGATTCAGAGGCAGAGCTTTGGGAAAGTGAATGAATCATGACAGCTCTAATTTCCGTAGTGGATTAACACACTGATGAATTCATGATCTGATGGAATTAATGGGAGGTAATGAAACTTGTAAGACGGGCTTGTAAAAGGAAGTAGGCCATGGGCCCTGCCTTTGGAGTCAGTACCTTGTCCCAGCCCCTCCCCCCGGCTCTTTCTCACTCTCTACTTAGTGCTTTGCTGCCACGAGGTGAAAAACCTTTTCTCATTTAGTTGTTATTCTCATGTATTCTATCACAGAATCTAAAGCTTACATACACATTCAAACTTAAGTCATTTTAGTGAAAGTTAATCTCTTAATTTTAAAACATGAAATGCTACCACAGATGATCTCTAGGGAGGTTTTCTACCCTAAAAAGTGTGCCTTATGTGCTTAGTTCTGTGGTTAGCAAAGTAAATCCCTTGATATTTTCAGATACAGTGTTACCTCATCATTTTTGCTTGGTTTTATTCCCATTTGTACATTTTATTTTTCTTTTAGGTTTTGTCTGTTTTCTTTCTCTTTCTTTCTATTCTTTTCCTTCCTTCCATCCTTCCTTCCTTCCCTTTCCTTCTTTCAATAGGGTCTTGCCATATAGTTCAGACCAGCCTTGGGAAACTATGCCCAGACCAGCTCAAATTTTTGGCAATATTCTACCTCAGCCTCCCAAGGGCTGAAATTACAGGTGAAGGCCTGTTTTTCTTAAGGTATGTCTTTGTATGTAGTATAAAAGGTTAAAGTGTGAATTTTAAATAAAATAGAGGGCTTGGAGATGGCTTAGTGGCATAAACGCTTGCCTAGCAAGTGCAAGGTCCTGAGTTTGATCCCTGGTACTGGGAAAAAAGGGGGGAGGGGGCAGGGGAGGGGAGGGGACCAAAATAAAATATTACAGAATAAAATGTCACTTGCCTTTCTTGAAGAGAAGAACTGAACATATATCGCAAGCAGCAAGCCCATACTTGAGGACTGTAAATATGTACAATTCCAGACAGCCAACTAAGAGAAAAAATATAAAGTTTATAGTCATTTAGAAATTAGCACTCTTTAGATTGTCTGCTTCTTAAGGTAATATTCTTGACATTTACCATTTGTTATAGCTTGTATCTAGACGTTCCTCCAAAGCCTCATTTAGTCACAGTAGGGATTTGCAGAACTGGCTGGATCTACGGTGTGTGATGCTGGGATTAATGGTGCAATGCTAAGATTAAAGGTACCCTACCCTGGGTGTGAGTGATACCCAGGGTATCACTATGGGTGGGTGGCCTGGACAGAATGTAAGAGACAGTAAGAAGGCTGCTGCTGTCACTTGCTGTTTGCTCCTGCACTGTGGCTGCCTTCTGCCTGCAGTGCTTGGTCATGGCTGTATCCCCTCTCTGATGTCCCTCTGCTATGCCACTCTGCCTTGGAGCCAACTGATTATGGATTGAAACCTCTATAAACTGTGAGCTGAAATACTTTTTTCCCTTTAACTTTGTGTGCTGGGTATTTTGTCTCAGTAACAAAAGATATCAGTAATACATTAAAAAGCTGATAACAGAGATCAGTAACGGAGTGTTTGCCTAGCTAAAGCCCTGGTTTCAACTCCCAGTGTCTCAAACAACCATAAAAAGACCTGACAAATACATAAATTTAACAGACCAACCCTGAATTCTAACTAAATTTAATGCACACTGACAATCTAGAAGAATCCTATATACAGACATATATATGACTATATCATATCAGCATATGGAGAAAAAGAACACACATTTGCTTCTGATGTCTTCACCTGAAATGTGGCAAGAGGATGGTTTATAGAGGTGAAGGCAGGGTGACATACTAGAAAGAATGAGGTCAACTGGCAGGGACTAAAGCTTTTAGTCAAAGTCTTTTAAGGAGTATTAAAAGGATGAATGCTATAGGCACCCTTTAAACCTCATAGGGGACCTGAAATGTTAAGGTTCTTAGTGAATGTTCACTTCGACATCAAGAACCTATAGCCAACCAGAACCAGCCCACAGACTGCAAGTGGACTTCTTGGTCTGAAGAAGAGTCTGCGCCATCATGAACTTGGTACTTATCATTCTCTCACAGGGAGGCCACTTCTGATCAATCTTTCCTTTCACTGCCAAACAATTAAAGGTCTAGTTCAAGTTTGCCTTCTGTAAGAAAATGCACCTATCACTTCTCTCTCACTAATACTAACAGTGTTCACTGCCTATATTATTCCTTTCACAGTAAGCCATATACTTCACTATTTTTCTGTATGAATTTTATTGCCTTACTTTTGATTATAAATTCCTTAAGGAACTTCAAATCCTAACACAAAAAAAATAGCACTATATACAGTATATAGAAAGCATACAAATACTGAATGAATATAAATTTCTGAGTAACCTGTACACATGTCATTAATACTAAAAGGAATTTCTGGTGAGAGGACCGAGGGCCGCGGGATCCTGAATAGACCTAGAGCGGAGGCTGGCGAGTGAGTGAGAGACGACCTGGGGTCGCGGGATCCTGAATAGACTCAGAGAGCAGGCCCTGCAAGTGAGTGAGACCACCGAGGCTGTGGGATCCTCAACAGACCCAGAGCGCAGGCCCAGATAGTGAGTGAGACGACCGGGGCCCTCCGGATCCTGAATAGACCCAGAGCACAGGCCTGGCGAGTGAGTGGATCCTGATCCTGAACAGACCCAGAACCCGAGCCGGCGAGTGAGTGAGATGACCCAGGGCCCGCGGATCCTCTTTCCACCCAGAGTGCAAGCCCAGCACGGAATCCTTCAGCAGAACTCCCTGCAAAGAGGCTAGAAGCAAGACCCACCCAGCTGATTCAGGAGCAGAACATCATGTCAGAGTGACACAAAGGGTTCAACTCTTAATGCCTGCAGCAGAAAGAAGTGGAGCACAGCAGCCAGATCCAAACAACACCCACCTGGAGGAATCTGAACTTCATAGATCTGGACCTGGTGTTAAGGTAATAACTCTATCTAAGCTCTACACCAAAGGTCAGAACACAGTGGTATACAAAATGACAAAGAGAAGGAACAAAATGCAGTCTCAGG